TTTTTTTTTTTTTTTAAAAAGAGAACTATTCTTTCCCTTGAGCTTCATTTTCTATGCATTTTAGAACCCAAAAGGCATCGAATAAAATATATTAACTAGCACATACCAGCCACATACCTGGCTAAAGATAACTTCTAAGTTCACAAAATAGACAAAACACATCCTCTTTCACAGTGTTGCCAAGATCTCTGTCTTTAAGAGCAATATGCAGCGAGTGTGAAGAGTGAGAAACTCACAGTACTAAAGAAATTCGGGCAAAATAACAAAAGCTGTTACTAGAAACAACCCAGTGATCACAGTGAAGTGCTTTAAGTTAAATTGCATGAAAATAATTTTGGATTAATTTAGAAATTTGATCAAAATGGTTTAATTTATTTTAAAATATAATGATGGATTAAATTACTTTCCATTTGTTTTTCCTGCTGCAGCTTGAATCTACAGCCCTGCACTGGGCATGCCGGGGGGGGAACCTGGATGTGCTGAAGTTCTTACTGGACAAAGGGATAAACAGAAACGCAAGAGACAAGGTACGTGCTTCTGGGACGCAGCAGCTTTCTGAAGTGGAGAGGAAAAGCTGACCCTTACTCCAAGCAGACCATTTTCAGCGGCCGTTCTTGAAGCGGCCCTTACCTGTTCCATGCCACTGACCGCCTCCTCCTCCCACCTCTCAGCTGCTCAGCACCCCTTTGCACGTGGCTGTGAGAACGGGTCAGTACGACTGCGGGGAGCACCTCATCGCCTGCGAGGCCGATCTCAACGCCAGAGACAGGGTAAGCCCAACGACTCCTCACCTGCCAGCTACCAGGTAGCATCAGACCGCTGTCTGCCTTGATAGTTCTTCTCTGCAAGAAACCCCGGCTACGCGGTCGGGTCCGGACCGCGGTGCCGGCGCGGCGGGGCTGACGCTGTGGTCCGTGTCTCCTGCCTCTAGGAAGGAAAAAAAAAATGAACCGCTACAAAATGATCAGGCTGCTGATTCTGTACGGAGCGGACCTAACTATAAAGAACTGTGTAAGTAATAGCAAAAAATGCAGTCATTCAAAAAGCTTTAGAATAAGTTTCCCTTCAGACCAGTTTCACGGGTTTCAAGGCTGGGAGAGACTATTGCGAACAGACGTACTTAGATCATTTCCGAGTTAATTAAAGAAGAGCCGACACAGGGAAAGCGTAACTTGGGGGAGGTCAGGGAGAAGAGGGAAAACCAGCACCTCTTCTAAACCCAGAACCCATCAGCTGCAACTTAAAACATCACATCTTCCCGTGATTTATTTTAATTTCACGTATCACATATTGAAAATATCTAAACATACAGACACTTGCTCTCTGCACAACTCCTGGGCTTCAACTGCTACCGAGACAACAAAGATCTTAGCTTGTTGGAGAAACCTCCTTTCTGTTAAGCCCAGAGCTGATGGCAAGCCCAAGCGCTACATCTGGATGACTGGCTGTTAACCTGACCACTGGGCAACAACCCCCCGTGGCTCAGCAAAGCTTCAGTTTAAGAAGCCCCGTGCCTGACTTTCTGCTCATGGCCCCCACAGCAGCAGCAGGTGCATTGCCAGATCTGCGAGCACTTCTTAAAAACACAGCACATGACAGCCCCCCTCCCCAAACCGAGCAGCAGCGGGATGGACGGTGGGTTTTACTAATGCCAGTTAATGTGTCTGATTGGCAACCAACGTAACCTAAGGGGGCAAGGAAGAAAGCAGTCACTGCAGCCTTTGCAGGCTCCCTGCTCTCTGCCCACACTCTCTGAAGCAGGACCGCTCCTGGCATTATCCCTCATCAGGGTATGGAATCATCAAAAGATACAGCCCCAAAGGCCAAAGACCTGCTCTCCCAGGCTTTGTCGGCACACAAAAGTTGCTCCTGTTTAATTTAGATGCGGTTCATAACCTAATTAAGCCAGTACAAACTCTTATCTGAATTCTCAGTTAAACAGAAGAGCAGCTTATTGAGGTTTCATCTAAATGTATTTCTAATCAGTTTAAACTAGATCAAAAGAAACACCTACGTGCTCTGCTAGTCATGGTATTTGCTAATATGGCTTGGGC